TCATATTGTTTGGGTGCAACAAACTGATTACAAGACTTTGGCATATATAGCAATCACAACCACTAAAGGTAATAAAGCCCCAGTACTTCCTAGTCTTGAATGTATGCACCCAATCAACTTCTAGAGTCTTTCCAAATTCTTATACATCAACTAAATACATAACGCATGAATCTAATTAATAAAGCATGTTTATTTTCAACATTCCCCCTTAAACATGATTTTCTGGTTTGAAACAAACTCCAAGTGATCCTCGCAATCTTCTGAATGTCTCCAACTTCAAAGGCTTGGTGAAAATATCTGCAATTTGGTCCTCAGACTTCACATACTTCAGCTCTATCTCCTTCTTGCTTATGCGCTCTCTTATGAACTGATATCTTGTATGTATATGCTTGCTTCTGTCATGAAAAACTAGATTTTTGGCTAAGGCCAATGTAGATTTGTAACACCCCAAAAAAAATTCAAGGTGGATTTTCATATTTGAGTGAAAAATAATATTTTGTGGAGAATGATTATGGGTATTTTATCAAGTGATTTTGGATTGAGATTATTAAATTAAGTGTGTTTAATTCAAAGTTGGACAAACATGACCAAAATACCTCTATGTGTGAAAGATTACGAAAATACCCTTGTAGGCAACAACAACTAAAAAAAAAAAGGGAAACATGGAAGGCATCAAACCACCCTCCTCCCATTCTTCCCCTCTTGCCTCAAGCTTCCAAATTTTCAATTATGAAAGTGGTGAGTCCCCTATTCTAAATTGATGACTCAGCTAGGCTAAGATTCCTTAATTAATCATGAATGTATTCTCTTCCTCCCCATTCATTGTATTTTCACTCTAAATTGATGACTCACCTCTAAGAATCTTCAATCATGAAATTATTATTATCCTCATCATTCATTGTATCATCCCTTTCTTCCTCATTCACATATTTTCATCCTTATTCTTCTTTTGTTCTTTTTCAAAAAAAATTCAAAAATTCGTCACTTCCTTGGAGCAGCTGAGAACTCAAATTTAGAGAGCTCAAATGAGAAAACTTCCTTCATAGAAGTTGTTCATTTACGTGATTCCTATACATACTCCATTTTCACCTCTATCCGATTAGTATTGGCTTCCAAAACTTGGTATGATCACAGTATGTTTACCATTTTAGGATTTCACAGTATTATGATCGGTTTCAGAATATTTCTATGATTTCTTGTACTCAAAGGACTTTGGTTCATTCATCAAAGTTGTTCAAAATTCTATCTACTATAACATATCAAAAATTTATGTTGATCGGACTTCTATAGCCACCTTGGGAAAGTTTACAGTGGAACTTGTTCTATGATTATATTGAATTTCTTGTTATAGATGTGTACTTTCTCTCAAATGGCTTGTTACTTGTCATCCAATTGATCAAATTAGCCACTATCATCTCAAGTAAATGATTCTTTGAAAGCATGAAGCTCATCTTTCTATTGTCTCTTTGAGTACTAGTTATAAATCAAGTGTTGGTTAGAATACCTCAATGACATATATCTCTTTCAAAGTGTGTTTCTGTGAAGTTCTAGATTATTTCGATGAGATTTTGGGCCAATTTCATTCTAGGATTTTGTTATATCAAAATTCATATCTCAAGGGTTATTTCAAAGTTGGTTTTTTGCCATTTGAATTTTAAATGGAGTTTTTTGTGAAATTTCAAAGTAGAGACTATGTTGTTGGAATTGTTTTGATTCTACCGCATGCCATGTTTGAATACGTGTTTGAAAACTTACTGAACTTGGATTTTCATGAAATTTTAGTATGTTTTACTTTCACTTATTTTCTTCAAATCTAGAAAGTTTTATCCATTTTGGTTGTAAATTGAAATTTTGGTGAGTTTTCAAAATAAAGTGTACAAACCTGAAAAAAGAGAACATTTGGCAGCCTAGTCTGTTTTGGTTTCTATTTTGACATGCTTCCTTAACCCTAATTTCCATCAAATTTTGACATTTTTAATTTTTCTAGGTCTAGTTGTAATCTGAAATTTTTTACATTATTTTGATTTAAACTCAATATTTAGTGAATTTTCAAAGTTAACGTGTTCCAACCTAAATGTTTAGCAAAACTGAAGTTTTTTGTTTTAAATTGATGTTTTAAATGAGTCTAGAGCCGAACCACCTGATTTTAAACATCCCAAAGAGTAGAACAATTATAGCAGGGGAATAGATTGGTTTTTCCTTGATGCTTGGTTCTAATGCTTGTTTGAACGTGAGGTTAAGGGAGTAGTGATCGGGTCGAACAATTTGTCAAGTGTTTTTTTTTTTTGGGGCTTTAGGTCTACATACTTTCGAGGACGAACTTGCACAAGGTTAAGCTAGCTGGACATGAGGTAAGGTTTCCTGATTTCCCAATGATTGGGCTATGTCACTTTTAATCTTGGTGCTTATATATATAGTACTATAAATATGAATATTATTGTTGCTTTGCTCGGTGGATATTATTTGATGTTATGTGAATATTATTATTGCTCTTTCTCCATGGATATTATTTGATGTTTGGTGAATATTCATGTGATTAAGTTTGATATATATTATTATTATTATTTATATTATTATTCTGCAGAGATAAATGAGATTTGCACTGCATTACATATGCATCATAAAGACAGTGGTGTTTAAGGTGTGTGTGTGTGTCGTTTGGTGTATATCTAAGGGATGGGAGAAGGCCTTAGATATATATGAGTAAGAAAAAAAGTAAAATATATTCAAGTGACGGGAGCAGGGCTTCAATATAATGAGGTGATGGGAGCAGAGTCTCTAATGAAAAGTGAAAGTTGAGAAATTCGTAAACAAAAGAAAACTGGGTTAAGGGACGGACGGACGCTAGTTCATATTTTAGGGTATTCGAAGCCACAATGGTAAAACTCATGGTATGGGACATGCAGACTTGTTGCCCTAAGGTATGAATTAGTGGGATTAGAAGGGAGTGAGTTCATGACATCACTGCATATACAAGTTTATTTATTTGGTATGGTTGCATAATTTATGTATCTTGTGTTGTTTGGTGCATGACACTTTGATTAACTATGATAGTTGACCTTGAGGGGTTTGACGGTACTCTATTGGGCATTAGAATGCTTATACCTTAATAGATTGTGCAAGATTCAAGGCGAAATTTGAGGAAGCGGGTTTCAACCGAGCTACTAGGCTTTTGTTGTTGATTTGTGTAATTACCTTTTGTAAGTAGTCAACGGTTTGATAAAGATCTTAGTGTGTAATTAACTACGAGTTACTGCGACTCAGATTCTATGTTGTTAAGTAAATTTGTATTTATTTATGGCTCTTTTTCTCATCATATCATGGTTTTCTTATCATATCATGGTTGTAGGATTTTATTCTTATGACTATGGTATGACTCACACCCTGATTCGGGAATATTCTTTATTTTTGAATTAGGTTGTGACAAGATTTGTTATCAACATAAATTTCAATATCTTCCTTTTGTAGTAGATTCAATTTACTCAACAAGTTTCTAAGTCATATAGCATTACAAACACAAGATGTTGCAGCAACATATTCAACTTCACAAGTTGAAAGAGTCACAATGTGTTGCTTCTTTGACAACCATGTAAAAGCAGCATCTCCTAAGTAAAAAACAAATCTTGTAGTGCTCTTTCTGTCATCTTTATCTCCAACCCAATCACAATCCCTATAACCCACAAAATTCAATTCATTAGATGCTGGATAAAACAAACCAAATTTAAGTGTACCTTTGATGTACCGAAGAATCCTTCTAGTTGACTTCATATGAGTGATTGTTCGCTCCTCCATGTAACGACTAACTAGACCAACTTCAAAAAGTATATCTAGCCTTGTGCAAGTTAAATATGTCAAACTTCTTACCAAACTCTTGAAAATAGTTGGATTCTCCTTTTTAGCTCCATCTTCAAATTTGGACAACTTCACTCCACATTCCATGGGAGTACTCACTGGATTGCACCCATCTTGAACTTCTTGAGGACTTCTCTTGCATAGCCTTCTTGTGAGATAAAAATTCCTTCTTCCATTTGCTTCACCTCAATGCCAAGATAATATGCCATGAGCCCAATATCAGTCATCTAAAATTCTCTTGTCATTGCTCTCTTGAACTCCTTAAACATTTGTCGATTATTACCTGTAAAAATCAAATCATCGACATACAAGCAAACCATTAACATATCATCATTTGCATTCACCTTTAGATAGAGAAAATGTTCATAGGGGCATTTCTTGAAACCATTTTCTTGAAAATACTTGTCAATTCTGCTATTCCACGCCATCGGTGCTTGTTTAAGCTCGTACAAAGCTTTCTTGAGTCTTAGAACTTTATCCGTATGACCTTTCACAGCATACCCCATAGGTTGATCAATATAGACCTCTTCTTCAAGAACACAGACTTCACGTCCAATTGATAAAGCTTCCAACTGTTTTGAGCTGCCAAAGAAATCATCAATCTTACGGTCTCCAATCTCGCAACTTGAGCAAACACCTCTTCATAGTCAATTCCAGCCCTTTGGTTGTGTCCCTTGGCAACTAATCTTGCCTTATACCTTTCCACTTCTCCTTTAGCATTCTTCTTAGCCTTGTAAACCCATTTTACTCCAATTATTTTTTTGGCTTTTAGGCAAGACAACAAGCTCCCATGTGTTGTTTTTCTTGACTGCACCTATCTCTTCATCCATTGCTTTTCTCCATCTTAAGTCATGCATTGCATCTTCAAAGCCTATTGGTTCACAATCAGCAAATAAGCAAAACAAGGTCAAATAATTTTGAATTCTTGTGACATCATAAATCTCACTTAGGTCACTGAAGTATGGTGTTTTTTCATTTGATCTTTCACTTGATGAGGATGATGGAAATGAGAAAACTCTATGAACTGATGGTGGTGATGGAGGTGGAGTTTGTTGTTGCTCTTCAAATATTTGCTCAACATTGCCTTATTCTTCCAAGAGAGGAAAAAATTTATAATCTTTCTCTAGAGCCTCCCAATTCCAGATGCCTTATTTATCAAAATAAACATCCCTGCTAATAGTAATTTTCTCCTTCTCTGGATTATAAAGATTGTACCCTTTGGAGGAAGCATCATAGCCAACAAAAATGAATTTCTCACTCTTGTCATCTAGCTTAGAACTATTCTTATCTGGAAAATGTGTGTAGGCAATGCTCCCAAAAACTCTTAAATGAAACACGCTGGGCTTTCTTCCACTCCATGCTTGTTGGGGTGTTTTGTTCCAAAGGCTTCTAGTTGGACACCAATTGGACAAATAAATAGCACACTCAACAGCTTCAACCCAAAATTCTTTTGGCATATTTTTGCTCTTCATCATGCTTCGAGCCATATTGAGAATTGATCTATTTTTTTCTCTCCACCACTCCATTTTGTTGTGAAGAGTAAGGGACTGTCAAGTGATTACGGAACCCATGGTTTTCACAAAAATTCTGAAATTCTTTTGATGTAAATTCACCTCCTCTATCGGACCTCAAAGCCTTGATTTTGTAGCCACTAACATTTTCAACATAAACTTTGAACTTTTTGAATGAACCAAACACCTCAGATTTTTCTTTTAGAAAATACACCCATGTTTTTCTACTAAAATCATCAATAAAGAGAAGAAAATAATTATTTGTACCAAACGAACTTGGTTTTATAGGGCCACACACATATGCATGAATGAGCACCAATGGCTCTCTTGCTCTTGTACTTGCTTTTCTAAGAAAGCTTCTTCTAGATTGCTTCCCACGTAGACACCATTCACATAATTGATCTGAAGAATTGATAAATGGCAAGCCCTTCACCATTTCTTGCTTGCACAGCAAAATCAAATCAACAAAATTCACATGCCCAAATCTTATGTGCTAGAGCCAAGAAGGATCTTTGAAACAAACGTTCAGACACTTTGCAACTTTACTTTGAATATTCAACAAAAACATCCTATTCTTTGTCATTGGAACTTTAGCAATTAACCTGTTTTGTTCATCTCTAATTGAGAGATTACAATTAATCAACTCCATATTGTATCCTTTCTCTAGCAATTGGCCCAAACTCAAATATTACTCTTCATAGTAGGCACATAATACACACTTGAAATAAATTCATGGCTGTCATCCTTCAAACGAATTAATATTTTACCTTTGCCTTGAACTGAAATCTTCGAATCATCTCCAAAAGTGATCTTGCCACCTAACTTTTCATCAAGGTAAACGAATAAATCTTTATTTCCGCACATATGGTTGCTTACTCCAATATCCAAATACCATAACTCTCCATTTTGTCTAGTTTTTTCTTCACATTTGTAGGCTAACAACAAAGTGGCTTCTTTGTCTGCTTCTGCATAATTGGACTTCCCTCGAACATTTCCACCACCACCACCTCTGCATTCAAATGCTTTATGCCCATAGCCTTCACAAGAATAACATTGGATTTGTGATTTAATCATACCTAAAATTTCCTTGCTGATTTGTATTGCTCCATCTTCCACGTCATCTTGACGAATACGAATTTTGTTTTCTTCCTTCATTGTGAATTGACTTGAAATCGCCTCTGCCACTTCTTCCTCCTCTTCCACCTCTTATTCCTCTACCACTTCTTCCTCTTCCACGACCACGACTTGTTCCACTTCTTGAGCTTCCTTCAACATTTAAAGTGAGCTTCATTTGTAAAACTTTCTCCACAACTAGTTCTTGAGTTTTCTTCTTCAATCTTTCTTCATAAGTTTTCAATGATCCAGAAAGTTGATCAACCGTCATAGTGTCCAGGTCCTTGGACTCTTCAATAGCAACAACAATATGCTCAAACTTTGAATCTAATGAGCGAAGAATTTTCTCAACTAAACGAGTGTCACTAACTTCTTCTCCATCTCTTCTCAATTGGTTGACATTGGCTTGAACTCTTGACATATAGTCTAAAATCGATTCTGATTCCTTTTGATGTAGACTTTCAAACTCTCCTCTAAGGGTTTGGAGTCGCACCTTCTTTACTTTATCAACTCCTCTATAAAAATTCTGCAAAATCTCCCATGCATTTTTGTCGTTGTCGCATTTGCAACCTTCTCAAATGTGCTGTCATCCAAGGCTTGATGGATGCGGGTGAGCACCTTCTTGTCTTTCTTCCTTGATTCCTTCAATGCTTCTCTCTGGGCATTAGTCAAATTTGCTTCATCTCCATGTTCACCAATTCCTCTCTCTACGACCTCCCAAGCATCATAGCAGCCAATCAAGGTCTTCATTCTAACACTCCAATTGTGATAATTATCTTTGGTCAGCAAAGAAACTTGAAATGAAGCCATCGAACTATTTGCCATCTTCTAAACCTCTTCTTATGGCTCTGATACCAATTTGTTGGAAGGTGATGACCCTCACTCATAAAACTCACAATTAAGAAATATTTGGAATAAGATACTTTATTTCATATTGCTTGGGTGCAACAAACTGATTACAGGACTTTGGCATATATAACAATCACAACCACTAAAGGTAATAAAGCCCCACTACTTCCTAGTCTTGAATTCATGCACCCAATCAACTTCTAGAGTCTTTCCAAATGCTTATACATCAACTAAATACATAACGCATGAATCTAATTAATAAAGCATGTTTATTTTCAATAAACCCCAAAACATACACATACTCTAAAGTTGATATAACACCCGTAATTTATAATGGTGTTTGACGTTGTTATTGGGAATTTGGTTGATCCATAGCAGGTACCTGTGGATTGTATTAGTTGGGAATTTGGTTGACTTAGAATGTTAAGTAGAAAGAGATATGTCAATTATTGCACATGAAAGGCTGTACATAAAAGCAAATTTGAAAGGGAAAAAACCTTGACACGATTGAGGTGTGATGGAAAAGATTGTAACTATTTAATAATATTAGTGAAGAGAAATATTATGAGAAGCGAAAGTTTGCAGAAAAGGAAGATGAGACTGCCAAAAGTTTGAGAGGTATTACATTGATTGAAGCGGCTCACCATTACACATATCTAGGGTTTTTACAGAGTGTGTATTCAAGGACAATGCTTGGCTCTTGATATATCAGGAGTCATTCCTCCTCAACAGTTAACGTCACTTCTTTACAAAACAACATGTGTTTTTTTTCTTTTTTTCTTTCAACTCCTTTAACTCAAGTCCTTTGCTGGTTTTCTAGCCGTTTCTTTCTTTTCCCCTTCTTCTTCCTCTCTCCAGCTGTTTTTTCTTTCTTTCTTTTTTCATTCTTATAGTTTAGGAATTTTGGTGAAAAAAAGACCTTCTTTTTCCCAATTTTTCTTTCCATGATCCTTATATCAATTGAAGATAGACCTTCATTTTATTTCCATTTTGGTTGGCTTAGTATGCTATCTTTGGCCCTTTTTTTTTTCTTTTTTGCTTGACTTGGTGTGGCTAGAACGGCACCAGTAAATTTTTTTGGTTTCACCTCTATTTAGCATGTAAGTTTTCTCCTCCTCCCTCTCCCTCTCCCTCTCCTTCTCCTTTCTTTAACAACCATGAAAAGTCTTTTTTTTTTTCAAAAAAAATAAAAAAAACAACACCTGCAAGTCACCCTCCCCTTCATCTCTTCCTCCTTAACTTACCTAAGTTAAAGAAATGAGCTAATTTTCTCACTTCCCTTTTTTTCATTTACACTCCTTTTTGTTTTTCAATACTTTTTAACTGATTTTGTTCTTTCTCTTTCCTATTCTATCCTTACCCTACATTAATTTCTTTTTTACTTCACTTTTATATTATTTCTTTTTCTTTATACTTGATTTTCCAACTCCCACTCTATTTTCAGTATTAAAGGGAAAAAAAAACTTAATTTCTTACTCGATCAAAGAAAAAAAATACTGAAAATGGAGTACAAGTTGGAAAATTAAGTATAAAGAAAAAGAACTAATATAAAAGTGAAGTAAAAAGAAATTAATGTAAAATAAGGGTAGAACAGGAAAGAGAAATAACAAATTGATTAAAAAGTATTAAAAATCAAAAAAGGGAGTGTAAGTGAGAAAATGGGAGTGGAGAAATAAGATCCCTTAAAGAAAACCAGCAAAAGACTTGAGTTAAAGGAGTTGAAAGAAAAAGAAAAAAGAAAAGAAACACATGTTGTATTGTAAAGAAGCCACGTTAGCTGTTAATGAGACATTGTCCTTTATACTACACATGTACAGACAAAGAATAGCAATAGCTAGACTAGGTGTAACACCCAGACTCTAATTTATTTATCCAATTAAATTATTAAATTAATTTAAATACGAATTTACGAATTTACCCTTGGGGTAGGGGTATTTTGGTCATTTTCTTAGTCGGTGAGATTTTGGGTTAATGAGTGACATTTTTAGGTAGATCGTAGTGAGCTGAGCCGGTAGACACGTAGTGGGCTCGAATCGAAGTTGTAACAAAGAAGTTACGATCAAAAGAAGCTCAGTGGCACGATCGTAATTATTTTGAAAAGAGTTTAATAAATCTAACTTCTCTCTCTCTCTCTCTCTCTCTCTCTCTCTCTCTCTTCGAAACTCCAGCCACCGGCCAAGGCAACGAACTGAACCGGTGCCAAAAGGACCGGCCCAGCCCTGACGTCAAGACGCGGCCCTTCCCTAACATCGGCCGCCATTCCAACTGCCGGAAAAAGCTAGGAAACGGCCAGTTTTTCACTCGATGTTCGTCGGCTTCGTTCGCCGTCTTCCAGCCACCAATTCCAATGAGTGAGGTATGCTTTCTCAGCTGATGGTTAGGTATGATTTTATCAATTTTGAGCCTTGGTAGTAAGATTTTTGAATTGGATTTCGACCGATTTTGGGATCTCGATTCCGGCCACTTTCGGTCACTTTTTGGGGTAGGCCCAAGAACAAAAGCGACTAAATATGGTGTTATAACTAGGGTAGGAGTCTTGAGCTGTGATTTTGAGATTTTCCAACGAAGTGTTATCGCTTTGGACACCCACGCCCTGCTAGCGCATGTGGTGTTACGTGGGCACTGTAACAGTGGGGCATTGTGTCCCGATGCAATCTCTTTGTTGTCACGAGCGCTTAGGTGTGCTCGGATTCCAATTTGGATATCGTTTGAGCGTCGAACGAATTTCGCCTAGTGTGCGATTTTCGGGTTTGATTGGTTCAGACCATTGGATCGAACCCGAATTCAAGTATGTTGATCTAGGAAATTCAAGGATTGTATAGGATTCAACAAATCGTTAAACAGAGTCCCGGATACTTCGAAAATGCCAACCCTAGGGCTAGGTTTATAGTAACCGTATGATCATGAGCGATCCGACAGTCCGATTTGGAGCAGACTTGCAGGACGTGTATCCTAAACCTTGTGGAACCCATAGGAACTTTCGGATCCTAAAACAAAGGTCGTGTGCCTGTGGGCCCGGTTGACCAAGTTTGAGTAGTTTGACCCCTCGGTTGACTGTGAGTCTTCCGAGGTAGTTTCACCCTTCGAGGAGTACTAGAACAACTGTACTAACAAGTCTCGACCGTTATTTGAGTTACGTTGACCTTGTGGGGATTTTGAGAGTGTTTTATATTATCCTATGAAAACTCTCGGATATTTTATGGATTCAATTGTTGAATTGGATGTTTTTATAAAGCTTTTGTGATATACTTTGGGTTTTGGCATAGTTGAGTATCTTGAATATGTATATATGGATTTTGAGAATGTTTACCTATGTTTGGTTATGTGTGGGGTACTTGGATTTTTGTTGTGAGGTGGTGGAAAGAAATGAGTTTAGAATGTCATTTGGAAGTGCTATTAGCACTACCCTGGGTACCTCACCGGCTACGGAGTATAGGCTTGAGAGTTTATTGTCTACACTATGAATAGATTTTTGGAACAATTAAATTAAGGAAGGAAATATCATCTGAAAATATTATTATAAGGGTTATGAACTCCACCATCATACGTACCTTCCCTGGTTACTATACACACATGTGCCGTGTTTCGAGCGTGTGGGCTTTCTTGGTCATGGATCCTGGAATTGTGGGATGCCGGAAAAATTATGGATATGTTGGCATTCGAACGCCCTTGAACAGGGGTTCGTGGACCCTTAACTGGGTAGTCTACGCACATAGGGCTTGTCACAGGCGTACGAGTCTTGAGGGTCTTGGTTATACGTGCTGGCTGAGAGTTCGTCCCCCAGTTGGACTGCTCGTTCCCTAGCCACATGGTTGTTCTCCATGTGGTCTAGTTAAACGATCCCCAGTTGGATTGTTTTCCCCCAATACATGATATGCATCATCATATGTACCTTCCCTTGGATACTAATACTTGGATACATGGAATTGGACACATGGATATGGATACGTGGGTATGTCGGAACCCAGGCATATCTTAACGAGGTGTTACCGTAGACCCTTGATTGGGTAGTCTGCGCGTGTAGGACTTGATACAGGCATACGAGCCTTTAGGGTCTCGGCTGTACGTGCTGGCTGAGAGTTAGTCCCCCGGTTGGACGGCTCGTTCCCTAGCCACATAGTTGTTGACAACTCCTCCATGTGGTCTAGTTAAACGATTCCTAGATTGGATTGTTTTCCCTAGTACATGATAATGGTGAGAGGTGGGTGTGATTATATATATGTATAATGATATGGACACGCATATTACATAGGTATATGTGGATTTGTTTCCGAATTGAGATCCGTGAGGTTGTGCTTTATGATTTCCCTGCATGGGTATGATTGAGTCCCGGATTAGGAAGGGTGATTTGGCAACATACGCCTTGGATAGGGTATGGTTGCGGGGAAAGAATTGATAAAAGGAAGGAAATGATAAAGGGTTAAGGGGTTGCCTTGTTGAGTTCGATATAATAAGGTATCAGAAGTCATTCGTTGGTTTTATTTAAAATGAAAGAGATTGTATACTACCGAAGTTATAACTATTGATGGTAAGAACTATGTGTGGCTTGATTCCTCATAAGGGGTACGTAGGTAGCCCAAGGTCTTACCTAGGTGCAGTCGCTGACTAAAATTTACTTATATTGTTTTATTGAGTTTGGTTCTGACCTTGTCGTTGGTCCTAAAACTCGGTTGAAACCGAGGTGTGATTAGATAATTGTTCATTCTCCCGTTTGGCTAAGGAAGGTTTGTATTAGTGTGTTATGATCAAATAGGGGTAAAACCTGTTTGGATTGTTATACGATTTGGGCTGAGGCCTTAAACTACTTGTGTTGGTATTAGGATGTTAAACATCACATGATGGAATCTGGGAAGTTATTTTATGTCGACTACAGTGGGCATTCATCAAATTCTTAATCTGCATTGTTTAGAATATTATTTGACTTAAGAGCGTTGTTGGTGGTTTTGTTTCGGATTATTGAAGGCCGGAGGCGGTTT